CCCCATATTTTCCATAAAACAATTTGCCTCCCACACGGTCTGTGTCTCCGTCCCATTTCACAGCACAGGAGAGTCAAAGTGCCCCTCGGGCTCAGCATCCGGCGCTCAGCACCAGCCACGCTCTCCCACCTCGCCTGGAGAGTGCCAGATCAGAGCATTCATGCTGAGACTTATGATGTGCCCTAAAGTGCTTCACTTCTCTGCAGTAAAAACTCCCCAGCGAAGGAAAAGCGGTTTTCCTAATCTGCCTAGAGCTGTTGGTGGAGGCCAGAGGTGGCCATGTCAGCCTGCCCTCTGTAATGGATGGATGAAGCTCTCGAGGCTTCTGCCCGCTGGCTATAAAATGCTGCCTCTCTTCAGCTCATAATGGGGCTCAGTATGATTTTTGTTGCTTTAACCCTCATTCCAAGGCTTTTCTCCACCTAACCTTAAGACCCTGCCGGTACCTAGTAAAGACCAGATCAAAGCCTAGATGCTGAAGATGGGCTGACCCTGGCCCTGAAGGGCGCCACCCATTTTGTGTTCTTCAGTCACACTAACTGCTGCTGTTTGTCACTGTACAGCACAGCAACTGGGCTCTTGCTAAGTGTGGTGATTTGGGATGAGAAGGTGGGCCTGGACCCTGCTATCACCCTGGGCTCTGGCTCTGCATCTGGACTGGCCACAGCAGGGGACATGTCGCAGTTTCTCAGCTGATAGCTGGATGTACTGACTTAAATGAGTCTGGACTTACTCATAGCTACAGAAGAGCAGGTTTTTACCTTGAAGAGGTTGAAAAAGAAAAGGTAAATTCACAGAATATGCCAAGTTTGAAGGGACCCAGAAGGATAATCAAGTCTAACTCCTGGCCCTGCACAGGACCATCCCCAAGAGTCACACCAAATGCCTGAGAGTATCCTCCAAACACTTCTTGAACTCTGTCAGGCTTGGTGCTGTGATCGCTTCCCTGGGGAGCCTGTTCCAGTGCCCAACCACCCTCTGGGTAAAGAACCTCTTTCTAATATCCAGACTAAACCTCCCCTGACACAACTTCAGGCCATTCCCTTGGGTCCTGTCACTGGTCACCACAGAGAAGAGATCAGTGTCTATCCCTCCTCTTCCCCTCAAGAGGAAGTTGTAACTGCAATGAGGTGTCCCCTCAGTCTCCTCTTTCTCCAGGCTGAACAGACCAAGTGCCCTCAGCCGCTCCTCACACGGCTTCCCCTCAAGGCCCTTCACCATCTTCGCTGCCCTCCTTTGGACACTGTTTAACAGCTTAATATCTTTCTTATATTGCAGTTCCCAAACACTGTCCCAATATTCAAGGTGAGGCCACCCCAGTGCAGAGCAGAGTGGGACAATCCCCTCCCTTGACCGTCTGATGATGCTTTGCCTGATGCTCCCCCAGGACACGGTTGGCCCTCCTGGCTGCCAGGGCACTGCTGACTCATATTCAACTTGCTGTTGACCAGGATCCCCAGGTCCCTTTCTGCAGCTCTGCTCTCCAGCCTCCTGTTCCCCATTCTGTACAAACAACCTGGGTTACACAAAAATTCTGGTATCCACCTTTCCTTTTCTTTTTTCTCCAAATATGTCTTTTTGGCTTTTTATTATTTTGTCTTTTTTAAAGAGACTGAACTGCTAATGATTAATGACTCAAGCATTTGACCACCTGCTGTTAGAGCCTGGACTTCGGGTGCTGAAGGCTCAATCAGCAACAGTGTGCTTTGCTAACAACGTGCAGAGTGGCCACCCAGGTGCTGAGGGCGTGCACACCTGCCACCTCAGGCTACAAGCTGGGTGTTGGAACAAGATAAGGAGAGAGGCAAATCCTGTCCTTACACAAATGACTCAGCTGTGATAACTCCCCTCCAGGGAAGAACAGGTACAACTCACACACATGGCCTGAAGATATTCATCTCTGATGGGCCATAATGGATCCACCTGTGCGGATGGAACAGGCAGATACAACACCTTAGAAGACATCTTCAGTCCTGAAATTGCCATGATCCAGTATTACATCTTCCAGTGTAGAACTCCCCACCTGAAGGGATGTACTGGGGGCATTCCCACCAAGCCTAAGCCACACTTGGACTTCACCAACACTTGGGCTTCACCAACGCCACTTCACGGGGGGTGTTCTTTGCGCACCCCACGGGATTTCCTTACCAGACGGGGCTTCCACCACCACCTCAATGGATCTGGACTGGGACCACCCCGTTGACAGGACTTGCGACCACCACTTTGACCAACAAACATCAAAATTGCAACAACCAAGTCTAAAATCCAGTGGGTTTTGTGGGTCCCTCCAGTGGCCGGGAGGGGCCACAGCCCTGCTCTGACTGCCTGTGCCAGCACTGCAGCCTCACTCCAGTGCCACGCAGGTGTCTGCCGGTACCTATCCTACCAGCACTGACTCTCCAACAGTTCCTGCCAGGTCTTCCAGGCATGGGGGACACGAACCATGCGGAAAGGTGGCCATCTTGTCTCTGTCCTGTGGCCACGCGTGTTTTCTCCTGGTGGAAAAGGCGAGATGCCATCTCGATTGGGTCTGGTGGGCAGGGCTTCTCCTCATAGGCTGGTTTAACCCAGTTTTATCAGTATTGTTATCAGCATTCTTCTTGGTAAAGAGTTATTTTTTCACTTACCTCTGGGTGTATTTGGTCTCCCTCTCTGTATTGGAGAAACCAGTCATTAAATCCAAGGGAGGAAACTTCTGCCTGATGTCTCCGCCCCTCCAGATTGTCTCAAACTGAGACAATGGGGCATCCAGGGTTGCCCCATCCCCGGTGCAGAATCCGGCACTTTCCCTTGTTGAACTTGAAATGTAATGATAATTAACAGAGGTAACTCTTTGCTTCCCATTCCAGTCTTACCTGCAGGAAAATTGAACGGAGAGATTTTGGTAAACAACAGGTCTGTCCTCCTGCCCTCCCACAGGGTCAGGATTGCTGAGTGATGCTGATCAAAGCTTTTCTCCACCTCTTTAAGTAGTCGCTGCTGCTTCAGTATCCCTCTTCCTAGAAAGCTTTTTCTAGAGTACAGCATGCATCCTTCTTGCTGCCATTTCAGTCTCTCGCTCCAACACTGATGTGGAGATGAGGTTAATCCCCATGCTTCTCTAAAACAAACCCGTAGCAATCTGTCCTCTGCTTTATCTCCTAAGGCCAGTGCCCTGGTGCCATTTATTTTAAGAAAACTCTTTTATTTGGCAGCGTGTTTTTCACGTGCAGTAATTCAGTGTATTTCCCACGTGATGATAATAACAGTAGAAGGCAAGAAATCATGTCAGATGCAGAAAAGCAGGAAGGCAATGACAAGGCAGTGACGTGAATGAGAAAAAGGAGTGCACAAAAGAGGAAGAGACCTCAGACAAACTGACACCGGGATGATTCGATACCTCACCCGTGAAAGTGTCATGCCACGCACTGAGACTCTGACAGATCAGTGCCTGGGTGCAGTGAGAGAGGAATGTCAGATAAGCATGAGCTGCGGATGGCATCTTCTTGTCTCCCAAATAAGGTGTCTCTTTTGCACCAAGATGCCTGGTCTGTTCAAATCAATCTGACTTGCAACACAATCTTCTTGGAAGACTTACAGCTCCTCTGTTGAGTTTCAAGGTTTAACAGTGACAGGAAAATGTAGTTCCAGTTTTACAGATAAGGAGATGGGACTTGAAGAGACAATGTGAGGGAACTTTTTCTTCCACACAAAACAGATCAGTGCTGGGACTGTGAACATCACTTGTGTTTCTAGGATTCTTCATTCACTGAGATTTGTAATGCAAAACCCATACGAGCACACATGGAAACTCCTTCTCCACAGCCTCAGTAACTATTTTCTCTGTCTCCAGGGAGGAATATTGCATCTGATTTAGGTGGCATATTGTTTATAATGGAAATAATCTTAGTGTGCAGCACACAGAGGTGTAATAATAACATGGTGCCACTGTAACCCCTATGGAGACCCCGATGGTGGAAAGGGTATGTGACATAGCAACTTTTCTTGCATGATGGTTCTGATTTTCTTCAGCCTGAGGAGTAACATGCACAGATCAAAAGCAGTTTTTCCTGCTAACATATTCTTCTGCTGACAAAGTTTATGGAGTAGAAAGCTTTTAAAGGTATAAACAGAATTTAGTAAACTGCAGCACCATCACAATAAAAAACATGATTTATGATTTTTTTAGAAGACAATTTATCTTGACTTTGTCAGCTATAGCTCACACTATATAATTTCGTTCTATTATTCTGTATTAAGCCCAGTATTTTGTGTTTGACCAAAACATGTCATCAGTCTCTGCCTTACAAATGCAAGAGCATTCAGAATTATGTCTGAAAAGAAAAAACCCACATATATGGAGAGCACAATATCATGCTGGAATTGCAGCACTTCAGCATTTTTCCAAAAACTACCTAATCCACTGACTTTTAAATCACCCACATGCCATAAATGCATTTATTTAAGAATAAATGGGGGCAGGTGGGATGGAAGTGAAATGCCTCGCACATAAACAGTGTAGTACCTGCTCCTTTGGCAATTTGGTCCCCTTAGAGGATGCTTCACTGCTGACAAGGGCATTCCCCGAGTCTCAAGAAATAAAGGCAGTGAAGGAGGATTCTTCCTCACCCTGTGCAGTGTCTGCTTGCCATTGCACTGCACTAAATCCAGGGTAAATCACGCAAGATCAGTAGAACTGGTCTGGATTTACACCCAAACCATGCCCAGCAGAGCAGAGCCCTTTGATTGCTTAACACCTTCTGTAACATGTCATGTGCTGCATTTAGCCAGCACCTGCAGCCCATACTACAAACCACTGCACAGACCCAAGGACCACAGCTGGGGAAGGAGATTTGAAGGTGGGCAAAAAGCTCTGCCCGCCTTCAGGTGCTGGAAACCACCCAAATGAGACTGGTTGGACTGTCAGGTGAGAGTTTTTGCTGGCAAAAACCTCTGTTTTTTTTCCCCTTCTGTTTGTGAACTGGGTCAATTCCTGACCTTGTTTAAATCAAACAAAATACTTCTACTGTATCATAAAAATTCCATGTTTTAATACATCGCCATGCACAAATGAAGTCAAACAATGCAGAGTACAAAATTGTCAAATATACAAAATGATAAAGCAGATACCCAAAGCTTCCAGAGATTCTGCCCAAAGATACCAAAAACTTTGATATTGATTTTAGTTTTATTGTTTAAAAGAATTCCTCCCTCCCACCCGGGTTTTATTTTTTGTTGATTTCTGAAGACAGAAGGAATTAAAGACTAAATATAAAAACTGTAAGGTGGAATTACCAGCAATGGCCACATCATATACTAAAAATTAGATTGCATGATAATTTCTGTTTTGGGAAAAAAGCACTTCTGTGCAGGTGAACACCTTGGATGCCTGGGGAAACGCAGAGTGCATCAAACAAAAAGGCACACTTTTGTTTCATGCCACGTCATTTGGCTCCATCATTAAAAAGTTCAGTCATAGATGTACAGGGAATAAGAGGGTGTCACTTCTTAAGCATTAGAGTGCTGGTATCTTCCTAGATTATCAACCAAGTTAACATTAAAAGGAGATCACTGGCTTAGAATATTTCCTTAGTTAATGTAAACCAGAACTGACTCCAAAGGCAGCAGGACCAGACACAACTTGCTGTCTTCAGGAGACTGTTTCGACCAGACAGCATGACCATGGGCTTGCAGTCACCCTTCTGCATCCAGCTGTCCTGGATCAGGTGACCAGGTCTCCCAGGACCTTGATCCCAGCATCTCTTGCTCCCTGCAGCTCATGTCCATCAGCAGCGGCCGATGCTGATGCACCAGCACAGCCTGGCATCTGATTCTGTCCATGGGCTGCTCATTAGAGGGTAACCTTTGGAGACAACTCAGGTGTGGCTGCAATTCCAGCTGTCAGTTCTGCTTTTTTCAGGGTCACATTCAAACAACCTTAAATTCAACTCTCCAAAACAGAGTACCCCAAATTTAGAGCCCCCTTTGGTAGTTTACGATGTGCAGAGCCAGGCAGGCACTCCTCCCATCTTACCCTGACTTGTGAAAAAGAAATAGTAATTGTGGAGTAGGTCCAGATAGCTGCAAAGCTGAAAGCAAAGCCCAGCACATCCCAAAGCATGGCCCTGACACTTTCAGATTCTGCAGTAACTCTGAGAAATTTAAAAATACGCCTCTTTAGCCTTGACAAGCAGCCCAGCAGCTCAGTGCAAGGCAAAGGAGACTTCTCCTCAGAGCATGCAGCCTCTTTGTGGAAATGCTGGTCATTCCTATTGCTGGAGCATTGTCCAGTTCTGCCAGGCAATGTCTCCTGCAATGGCTGCAAGAGAGCAGGATGGAACGGGACAGGTTGCACTTGCAGGTTAGCCCAGCATGGCCCCATTCCTCCCCTCCATCAGCAGTGTTGGAGTCAGAGCACAAGGCTGAGTTTGGGTCTCATGCTGAGGTGCTTTGCATAGGCTGGAAGTTCCTGTCCCTCTGTGTCTTCACTACTGTCACCTTATCTCTTTTCTATCTTTCTCAAAAGAAGCACAGAGAAGGAGCCTCCTGAATACAAGGGATGCAGAAGTGGTGCTAAGAGGACTCCCAACATTTCTTTACCAAAGTCTGGTTCAGTAAGGAAAACCTCTATCTAGATGTAAAACCTTGCTCTCAATATTGAAACAAAAAGTCAACCAACCAGTCAAATCCCCTAAGCATCTGATGGGACAAATTGTTGATTTTTTTCCTTCCCTGCACAGCTTCTTATTGCTTACAAGCTGTTTTGCTGCAATACCAATCTACCAATCTCCCTGCTTAAAAAAAAAAAAAACAAACACTATGTTTTGCTATGTAATTTAGTGACTTATGATATCAAATAAATAAATTCAAGGCAAGTTACTTAATAGAAAGGATGTGATTACAGATGTAACAGAAGCTACAGAGGATTTTTTTCTTCTGAAAAACTATTTAGATATATTTGGAATTAGTATCAGAAAGGAGATTTTCATCTCATTCTCAGACTAAACCTGGTTGCATTATAATAATGCTGACAATTCCACTCGTGCAAGTTCAGCTTCTTCCCTGCCCAGCTGGATCCCAGACATGCCAGTTATGGAATGCTCCCCTCCAGAGCTGCACAGTGTCTCAGCAGCATGAGGACACTCGTAAGCCATCACACACCGAAGCCAGTGACTCTTCAGAATTTATTTGACAGGCAGCAAGCACGTACCAGTGTTCTTTAAACAATAAATCTAGCCCAAACTCATTTTCTTAGGATTTCATACTGGATTAGAGGAAGAATCCCCAAAGATCTTTATCTTCTTATCTATGGCTGTAGCTAGCTCATTCTTGTTTTAGCTTCTTGATGTTGATTCAATACCAATCTGCAGTAAGTATTGCCTTTATAGTTTCTCTTGTTTGTGTGAACTGTTTACTTTTCAGACTGCACACCCCTGTTCGTGCCGTTCCCCACTGATTGGTGAAGAACTTGGAAGATGCTCCAGAGGTTCTCACTTGCATCTACTGACAGCGGTTTTATGAAACCTGAATCAGACACTGAGTAGCCCAGTGCTTATTTCCGAAGTACAACACTGAAACCAGCTGATAGTAACAGGGCCCAATCTTGCAAAAACCCACTGCTGGGAGCAGCTGTCATTACTCTGGGTAATCCCACTGATGTCATTTCACTTCCAGGGCTTTATTAACCAGCTCCAATGGGGCTCGTCATGAGAGCTGAACAGTTTGTTGTGTTTGAAGCAAGGAACTTGTGTACCATGCTCAGCTGCACAGAGATACAATCGCCCCCTCAATCAGCACTGCAGCTTCTCTGCCAGTTGTCGAAGGCAGGAAAATCTATTTCTTGCCAGGAAGATCCTACCTCCTTAAGAGGCAAACCCACAGATGTTATTGCTTGCTTAGACTACACATCCACGTGGCCCCATGATTTGCATGCAGCATTTTGTCCCAGGTTGCTATTAATGAAAGGCAACAGACTTTCTCAGTGTGTCCAAGGGTTCTGTTGTCCTTTCTCATCCAGTTCTCTTCCTTTAATTATGCACAGCAGAACCTTAAAACTGTGAGCAGACCTACTGACGCTCATACCAAACGTTAACAAGTACAGCTTTTCATAAAAGCCGTTTAAATTAAGACCATTTTGTGGAAAAAAAAAAACAAACACAAAAAACCCAAAAACTGATATAGGTTGCCCTGCGTTCTTGTAATATTGGATACTTCAAGGTATTTTTAATTCAGAAATTACATCTGATGATCTAGTCTAATCCTTGCATAACACATGCCTAATGACTTCATCCAGTAATTGCTGCATCGAGCCTGGATTTCAGTTTGAGGTAGAGCTTATTGACTTAGAAAAATACTCTGCGTACATTTAAAGACTTTATGTGATGGAGAACATGCCAGGTAACTAAGTAAGTTGTCTCCATGGGTAATTATCCTCCCTGTTGAGTACTTGCACTTAATTTCTAGCCTGAAATCAGTTTCCAACCAGTAGAGCACATCATTCCCTTTTCTTCTAAACAGAAGAGGTACCTGCCCTCAGACAGCACTTTCCTGCCCAGGTAAAGATTGTGATTGCAGATAGAGATCAAGTCACCTCTTCAAATTGCCTCTGATAAATTAATAGCTTGAGCTTCATTAGTCTGACACTATAATAAGACCTGTTTTCCTGCCCTTGAATGACACTGGGAGTTATTGAAAATAATCTTTCCAAGTTGTCAATACCCTTTCTGAAAGACTGACAGTTACCAAATGAACTGGAATAGCATCACTATTGCCAGGTCCTACATCCCAACTGGCAAGAGCATCTCTGGAGCTGATGTTGAATGGATTACTTACTGCACCTTTGCAGCCACTGTGTTATTCCAGATGTACTCCCCATGCTTCTAAGCAGACTTGCTGCCATGTCTCCCAGATTTCTGACTTTTCTGTCCTCTGGGTTACTCTCCACCCCTAACTTGCTCATATTATTATTTACTGCATCTCCGTTTTTGTCACCTCTGTCTGTTGCCAACAGTAACTTTCTCTTTCCCTGGGAGGTATATTGAAAGTAAAGCATACCTTGGGAGGACCTCATCAGAAACAGTCTAACTGAGGATAATTTCATATTTACTGCTATTTTTTTGTGATCTAGCCTGTAATCAGTTTTAATCCACTTTATATGGGTGATATTGATTTTGCATTGTGCTATTTTTGTTCTTTATCAGAATCAAATGCTCTATAGGAGGCTAAGTATGGTATGCCAGCAGAGCTTCTTTTCTCAACAAGACTTTGATACCACAAAAAATGATAGCAAATTATTTGGTATGATACAATTCTATAAAAATAAACTGGAGGGTTTTATCAAGTATTAATTGGTTTAATGATTATGTTATATCAACTTTTCCATGATTTTGCCCAAGACTGATAGGAAGCTAATGAGCCATAGTTTTCTGGATCAAACCTCTCATTTTTTTTGAATTGTTGTGGTTTTGGTGTCATTTGAAGCTTCTTTTATGCTTTCTGGTTCTGAAGAGTCCTAGTCAAGTTTTCCTTCACTTTTGGATTCACCTAATGATTCTACAAATTTAAAATTATGTTTGGAGAGTTGCTGCTTAATATTATCCGTAATTACTGATGGAGTAGGAGGAATTACATCTTAATAGGCAATTTGACTCCCTCTTTCTACTGCTTTCAAATACAAAACAAGACTATTTGTTGGGTTTTCAATGTACTGTGAACAATCACTGTGCTGGGCCTGTCTAACATCAGACTTAGCTTTGCTATGACAGTATTTATTAGGATATATGTAAAGCCTTTGGTCTAACCAGCCCTAACCTATTTGCCACTGACTTCCCATGCTTTTTTTTGGCTTCCTTCATTAAACATCTACTTTTCTTACTTGCTGATCTATCCTCATAAGCCTGCCTAATCACCCATACATTATATTGGTGGCTTTTTCTGCACTCCAGATTACTCTCCTGAATTTTACTACAGGAGGTTGCAGGTAATGCTGGTAATAATTTCCCCTCACCCATCAATTTTAATTACACCAAAGGACCTTCTCTTTTTAAATTAAAATCTCATTGACCACAGCCTATATATATCAGGGTCAATTGCAGCACAGTCCTGCAGCGGGGCCGTTCAAGGAGACTCTGATGGCAGAGATGGCAACTATTAAAGGGGACCAATGTGAAAGATTCAGGGTTTTACTTTGCTTTACTTTGAATAACACAGATTTTGTGGCTTTGTGGCTGCTGGAGGGAGGTTCACTTTGGCAATGACAAAAAAACCCACCCCAGTCCTGGATCCATGGCTGGCACTGATAGACACATCTGTGGAGACACTCATGGAGCAGCACCAATGTAAGTCCACTGGGGCCTGGCCTTGTGTCTTCTGAAAGTGAAGGGTAAAAGCAAACCAAAATTGTATAATTTTTAATGGTTTCATTTCCTCAATAATGTTACATCTGTTGTCGAGTGACAACACTTACCCTTAAAGAACAGACAGGGAGGGATGAACTCACTGGTAGAGCATTGCCAAACGTCTGGACAAGCAAAACCAAAGAGCTTGTGGAGCTTTTTCAAACTCCCCTCCTTGAAGGCTGCATTTCCCTTAACAGAATAAATGGTGGATGTTCAGGTACAGAAAGCCACACAGATGAGAAAAAACCACAAGGATCAAAACAGTGCAAAGGATGCCTTCAGCTGCAGCGTGCTTTCTGGAGTGAGCAATTCCTTCAGGTTTCTGGTGGAGGACTTCTCATGGTTTGAACCACTTGGAAAGGCTGCACTTCTGTCAGGGATTCTTAGTGGGGTCTGATGCTGCAACCTTTCTGGACACAAAAAAACCCAGGCGAGCGTGACACCAGGGAGAGGAGGAGGCTGCAGGTCTGCACAGGGGAACAGTGTCCTGATGGCAGCACTGCCTTGTCTCGGAGATAATAACTAGTGATCAATGTAACAGCAGCACTGGCCTTTGCAAATTTATCTATCTCCACAGGGCTGATAATGGCTGCTTGATGAAAATAGCATTAGTCTCCCACTCTTTCACACCGAACTAATGGCTCTGAACATATTTAAATTGACTTCCTTTGCCGGAATAACTTATTTGCTCCCTTTCATGTTGACTTGGTCTTTGGCACTCTCGACATAAATGATTTATTGACCAGAGATAAAGCATTCTTTCCCCTGAACCGTTCCTATGACCCAGGCAAAAGCGGATATATCTGCTATTAATAAGGTGTTCAGCATAAAAAATGCAATAGACTTGATTGTCTGCACTCAATAGCCTTTCCGAGAACACAGTACCTGCCCCCATTCATAACAACAAAAATCTCTCCCACGTGTTTATTTATATTAAAAACTTTTCAGAAGAATATGCTGGGATCCAAATAGTTGTTCAGGAGATGTAGAACAATTCCATAAATATCCCTGAGGAAGCATGGCCTACTTTGGGAGAATAACAGTGATTAAAAAAAATCTAAACACAATGAATAGTTAAATACAAGCCAAAAAGTACAGTTATTTCCTTATGGCTCTGGCAGACAGTTACACACATGAGAAGTGTCACGGGGCTCGGGGGAACTATGCTTGCAGTTGTCCACATGCATAGGCTGGCTGCAGGATGGAGACCTACACCAGCTTCAGAGAAGATTTGTCCGATAGGCACCTACAGCAGACTTCTCACCGAGTCTGGCTACTCAAGGATCTGGACTTGATTTTCACATTTCTCAGGGCCTATAACACTGCTTTTCTAGGTCACCATAGCTAAAATCCTGGGAAGCTTTTAAAACAAACTGTTTTAACAGGAGAAGTGCACACATCTAAATTCATGCCCATATACTGGAAGATGTTCAAAACTAACATTGATACAAAAAAAGCTTCTAGTGGCTCTCTGCCTAACGCAACTTCTTCTCATACACCCTTTTAAGATAACACTCTTTGATAAACTTTTCTTATATCATTCAAATTATTCTGGATTTTTTAACTGGGTAGTAAAATAAGAGAATTCCTACTGTAGAAGTAAAGCATTCTCCTTTTAATATAACATATCAATCAAAGTACTTTATTTTTTAATTGCTGTACCAACATGAAATTGATGTCAGTTGCCAGAGTGCATTTTAAAACCTGTAGCAGAAAGAGCTGTAAAATTTGCTGAAGCTTACAGTGGACCTGTGCCATGTGCATGACTGGCTCTATTGGTATCAGATTCCAACCTGCAACCCTACGAAAAGCTCTAAAAAGTGCAAATGTTGCTGTTGGCAAAGATTCTCATGTCTTAAGAAAAATTTTACACCAATTAATTTAAAATTAGGGACCAGGATTTTCAGAAGGAGACTGTAGAAGTTTACTGCTTTGTAATTCTTGGGAGCTCCATTTGAGAACCCGTGGAAAACCCCAAACCGTTAGAAATCACTAATGACTTCTGAATACCCTGGTCATCAGTAAAAATAATTTTCTTTTGGACTGAATACTGTAGAAGTATCCAACATGCTGAATCTGAGATGGGTGGAGAGCTGAAACCTAAGCCCATTACCATCTGAAAAAAATTAAACCCTGAAGATAATTATCTGTTTGTTGTACAGGCACCCACAGTGGCTGACCTTCCATTCTCTAGCAATGAACTGCACAACAGTTTTAAAGAATTGTAACACAGGAGCTTCCTCTAGAAAGTTGCCTTTGATTTACTCGAGCTGCACCCTCTCTCCATCACTGCATCTTCACACCAGTATTGTGTCTCACCCAGTTTGGAATAAATGCTAACAGCAACTCTACTGTACCTGTCTGTCAGGCTGGAGAGAGCGACAGTCTTTAAATACACAAAAAAAGCTACCTTTGATTTCAAAGAAAGAAGGAACAAATAAGTAAACCCCCTCAGTATGTTGATGACATCAGTTCATTATAAAGAGTGTGTCAAGAAGGTCCTGATGTGAGGGACAGACATTAATTCCACTGAGTCCCCACTGAAGAAACAGTACCACAGCCAGCTGTGATACAACCAGTGATGAGGCCAGCCATTCAGAGACTGAACAAAAAACAATGTTCAGATTGAATGCAACAGTCTTGAGCCTGCTACAGTATATTGAAAGGCTTATTGGAACCATTTGCTTATTCCCAGTTCCTACCAAAATACTGTTTTGGATAGAAAGTGGAAGAAGTTAATGAAGAAGTCTGCCCTCTCCAAAGGGAGTGTCTTGCTCCTCAGAAGTATAATCTTACACTTTACCTTTTTCAGAGAGTTTGGTTTGGACTATGATTCTCCAGCCCTGCCCAAAACATAAATGGTGGCCAGCATAAAGAACCTGAATTCTTCCAGTTTATTCTGGTTTTACTGTAGACCAAACCCAGGGTCACACACATTTCTGAGAAAGGCTCTCTCCCTCTCTGAGTAAGAAAACACATTGGCACACTAGAAATGAGAACCTTTGATATTTGGTGGATGAGAGGGAGAGCAGACACAGTGTCCTACAGCTCAACCTACCCTGTTCTTGGCTACCTCTGTGACAGCTGTTCTCTAAGTCTTGATAAAAGAAGTCTCATCTCTGCCACGTGCAAATCTATCTACACAATCTAACGTGAATTGGTGAAGGGATGATAGTAGTGGGCTTCAGTTTGGATGCAGTCTCAGCACAAATACTGAAACATATCCTCAGTATTTTAAAAAAAGACCATTATATATATATATATATATGGACTGTGCTAGTTCTGTGAGGAAAGCACATATGAAGTGCTGATATCGTTTAACAGAATACCATTAGACTGCAAAACTAACACATACAAGACGTTTACATTCCTATCAGGGTGTAATATTGTGAACATATCCACTGAGATTGGAGAATTGCTGTAAGTTTTTCCTAAAATATCATGCCATCTGCATACATAATAAAAGAATCCAGTAGTTGCCATGCTAAAACAGGACTTCTAGTGAAGGGCATAGACAGTCCCCTAAAGGGAACTCAAAAGTTATGCACAGTGATGAAAACTGGAAGAAATTTTCCAGCTAAAGGTCTGTAAATGACCATTTTCAACAAATTAGCACTGGATATTTTGCACCACGTTTTTACTCCACAGCAAACCAGGTCTTCCCAGAATGCATCATCTGAGTCTGCTGATTTTACTTCAAGTTTGTCTTCAATCCTCCACGGTCATTTTCTGGCAGCGCCATTTATTGTGGTTTTTTCATGAAGGAAAGTTCACTTTCATATCAAGTGGCAGGACAGCAGCTTTAGAGGCTGGAAATGTTTATGGAGAGCTCTCTGCTGGGGCTGTAAGAAACAAAAGAGGAATTCAAAACCAGACAGTGAGTACAGAACATTATCATGTATTTCACCTAAAATTAAAAAAGTCAGGTTTGAGCTCAGTAAATGTACTCCTAGAACATATATTGTGACTCCAGTACTTTTTTTAATCAACTTTACTCACCAACCAAAAAACTCAGTGCTTAATCAATTTCTTAGATAAATATAAAGTGCAGACCAGCAATCATTTGCATGATTTAACAAATCCTACTTGAATTTTATTGCCTCATGTGAAAGCACGGCTTACTCTTCCCGTAGTCTGAGTCCCAGAGAGCAGGCTCTTCTGTTTGGTTGGATTTGCATTAACTACTGAAGGCTTGATAGCCAAATGCTGGAAAGGCTCTGCCAAATGCCCAAGTAGGATTTAATATTCCCTGACCATTTCTGCTGGCCAGGATGGTGAGAATTGGCCACTGGTGCGTACAAGATGTGAAAACAGATCACCCACATCCTTCCTCCCTTCAGAACCCATAAGATAAAGAGGGGGATTGCAGAGAGTTTCTTTTTTCCCTGCTAAAAGCAGTTCAGTAATTTCAGTGTTGGTGGCTGCTATTCTGTGCCTGAAAGCCCTTGCAAAGGTGTAACGCAATCACACCATAAAGGAAGAGAATGTGGAGGTTACCCGTAATTTCTCCTCCCCTTCACCCAAACTTTTCTTTGAGAAGCACAGCAAACGGACAAGAGGCAATGGACACGAGGTGCAACAAAACAGTTTCCAGTCAGATGCAAGAAAAAAAAGCTTCCTAGTAAGAGTGGTTAAATTTTGGAACAAGTTATCTGACCAGGCTGTGGGACCTCCACCTATGGAGATATTTGAAACTCAACAAGATGAGGCCCCACACAACCTAACGTGGCCCTGCTCTGAGCACAGCTGACTGAGACCATCTCCTGAAGCCTCTCCCAGCATAAATATTTTTATGATTGTACATTTTTTCTGATGGGGATTTGTGCTCCCCATTCTGCCTTTCTGAACAGGAGATGAGTGCCCATGCAGGACTACTCACGTTGAAGCACATTCAGTTGTTTATTCACTCTGTAGCACGTAAATGCATGTAAACCCATCACAGGCTCAGGCCTCTGGGGCCAAGGAGCCATGCAGAGACAAGTTCACCGTGCTATTTCATAGAATCATGGAATCATTTATGTTGGAAAAGGCCTTCACGATTATCGAGTCCAACCCTTAACCCAGCACTGCCAACTCCACCACTAAAACATTCTGGGACACAGCCAGTTTTCATGGACCCCATCTCTGACCAGGCCAGTGTTGGGATGAAACTCATCAGGGTGTGGTCTGAACCCTTTCCAGCTGATATCCTGCTTCTTTCATGAATGTATGTGTCTGTGTGTGTGGGAAGAGCTGTTTTCTGGGACAGATTCCAAATTGTGAAGCTAATGGGATACTGATGCTGCCAAGGCAGCATTCACGTCAGCTGAAACTCAGGCTGGCAGTGGATTTCTGCTTCTCACTCCTTCAAAATCATGCCTGGTGGGCTCTTCTCTGTGTGTTGTGGGCTGACTGCCTCTGCCAAGCTGTCACTTTGCCCATATTTGCCTCTACCAACCCCAAACTCCTGAAGCAATGGACATGAAGGTCTGATCAAGCAGGCAAAGGATGGGATGATAAAAAAGTAGGTGTTGCATAAGACTAAAAAAACCCACCCACACCCTGCCACAAACACTTGACCCCTCAGTGTAAATATGCCCTATGAAATAGAGGAGCAATAACAGCCAGTCTGCTCAGTTATTTCCCTCCTTATGTGGGCATATTTACCTGACTACAGTGCTATTCTTCATTTCTGTTTTTACAGCTGCCTTGCTTTTATTCTCCAGGTTCTCTAGGGCAATGTTCCCACAACCACCTACTGTCACCTTCTACATGAGATGCCCATGTCAGTAGGTATCTGAGAAAGACTCACATTTGGGACCAAGAAACTGTTTTATTCCATGGAATAAGGGAAGGTTTTGAACCTTCAGCTGCTCTAGACAGATAACTGACTGTGTCCTTCAGGACAGAAAAGAAAGCAACGGTGGCATTAAGCAGGTTTGAAGGGAAAGAGGAAATCTGTAGTGAGGTTTTAAACTTGGAGAGGAGCAAACTTGTACCTCATCTCAAATTTGTTTGATTCCAGGTTAACTAGAGGATATCTCCTATCTGTGTAGCATCAACAGAGACAGGCCCATCTCAGAAAGGAGAAACAGGACTTTTTTTGAGGTCATCTACTGTGAAGAAGGGAAAAACTGAAAAGCTCTCCCAAGCAACGGAAAATACCTTGCCTAGCCATAGAGTTGCAAGACTAAAATAAAATGGGTAAATTGGCTAATTATATCAGGTCAGGCCTCAGGATTGGACTCACACTGAAATTCTCCAATCATCCATATTGTCTCAGCCATCAGCCTGTACTTGTACTTAAGTTTGAAATGAGTCAGCTGGCCCTTCAGACAGAAACTCGTGAATGAGGGGAAATGGGACTGATCCCAACCTGAGCTCTGTCCACACTGCAGAGGGAGCACAACCACTTTGAGCCATGCAGGACACCCAGCAGAGGAGTCTGGATGCAACTGGCATCACTGAGCAAGGGAGTAGTAGTAATGCTGTCAGGCTCTTTATTTAAAGCAAGTAAACTGAGGATTTAGTGGTCATCTGTCCTGTTCCTACTCCTCTCCCTTTGTCTTTTGAGGACAGCATTTCAGAAGCACTTATTTCCTCATTACCTATATAATTTTGGGAGCCCAGCTGGAGATTCCTCTAAGGACTCTGGTCTTCTAACAGTACACATCCAATGCTTTCTGAACGTAAGACATTTATAAAAGATATCAAAAATGAGCAGTTGTCTTTGAAAACCTTTCTAGAGCTCTCAGAACAAAGACCGCCCTTTGCAGGGGGTTTGTAAACTTACCAACAAAATGGAGTACAGATCTAATCTCACATGACATTTTCAAGAAGTTACAGTAGAAAGACAACAATAATTTCAAAGCCAGAGATATATTTTAGTTTTTGAGTACCTGAAAAGTGTGATTTTTGTCTAACTGAGAAAGGGACATATTTTAGATTTATTTTAAACATGTTAATTCAAGTCAACCTAGAGGTATTACCTATTTGTCACATTTTCATAATTGAGGGATTCTGATAAAGAAAACAAGTGTCTATTATCTTTGCTAGGTTTATTCTCCTGGAACTAATTTTATACTATATTTCTAAAGTCAGCACATTTCAAACACAGGACTATAATGAAAAATGCTTATTTCCAAACATCCATCTACCAACTATTCCTTGGAGTCTGAGAAAAACTGCATTCACAGCTGCATTTGGTAGTATTTTTCCTATGTTAGAAAGGCCCCAGGTATCTCATTTCATGTGTCTCATGTCAATTAAGACATGCTGTACATTATTGCAGACTTGTTGCATCTTGTTATTTCCTAATTAGAGTTCATAGAATCATTGAGGGGTTGGGGTTGAAGGGACCTTAAAGATCATCTAGTTCCAACCCCCCCCCTCCCCAGTGTGCAGGGAATCGGCATGTTCCACTAGACCAGGTTACTCAGAGTGCCATCCAGCCTGGCCTTGAACACTTGCAGGGATGGGGCAGCCATAACTTCTCTGGGGAATCTGTTCCAGTGCCTCACCACCCTTATAGTATAGAACTTCTTCCTGATATCTGATCTAAACCTGCCCTTCACAGCTAAAGGCCGTTCCCCCTTGTCCTGTCACTACACGCCCCTGTGAAAAGTCCCTCTCCAGGGTCACTGTAGGCCCTCTGAGGTACTGGAAGGTGTTATAAGGCCTCCTCTTTTCCAGGCTGAACAGCCCCAACTCAGCTTGTCTTCACAGGAGAGGTGTTTCAGCCCTGTGATCAACTTAATGGCCCTCCTCTGGACTCATTCCAACAGGTCCAGGTCTTTCTTGTACTGGGGACTCCAGAGATGGACACAACACTCCAGGTCATGTCTGTGTCCAGCTGTGAGGCCCCCAACAGATACCACTACCTTTGAAGAATTTTGTACACTGATAAAAGCAAAGGCCTGGCAGCCCATTTCTAGATTTACCCTTTTCTTTATTGTGCACTGAATTATTATCACTGAGGTGTGAGAGCACGAGGTGTTTCTCTGAGGTTTATGAAAGTTACTGTAAAAATACCTGCTCGGGGAACTGATCCCAATTAGTTCCCCACTGGGAAGTGCTGCCATGGGGCAGCCTTGACAAGGCCACAAACCATTCACTCCAGGTCAGATGAGACTGAAATCGCACCAGCATTTGGTTTCACTCTATCACTAAACCTTCCCATTACTGTTCAGGGTGGAGAGTAGCACCAGTCCTTTTAACCTGAAGGTAAATGCAGCTATTGCTGCACATCCTTATTACCTAACAAGGTCACTGATAACCAGAGTCAACAATGCCAGAGATCCAAGGTTACCTCAAACTATTGCAGGCGTGCAGCTGGAGCCAGCACAGAGAAGCCTGCTCCATCCACCTCCAGCTGCCTCCTCCCATCGGAGCAGCTCCGTCCTGTACAGGCACCAAGTCAGGCCTCAGGGCTGCACAGAGACAGTAAACTGCCTCCCTGCACGTGCCACAGCCCAGCAGCCCGTGCAACACCCAGCGGCCAAGAGAGAATACAGAGACGTGGATGGTTTTTGATAAGACTGTCAATTTTGTTTTGATTCCCAACCAGTCATGTCTTGGTCTGACTTGCCTGATTTCCCCCTCAATACTAAGAACAGGTAGCTGATACAGTCTTGAAGGTTATTTAATGTTGTTTGTCAAATGCAGTTGTCAATACAGTGGAAAAATACCAAGGCGGAAAGGAAGGAAGTCTCTTCTTACTTTGATTTTTTAATTTGATTGCCAAGCAGGAAACCAAGATTTTGATTTTGGAGTAGCTTGACAGAAAAGGTGGATCTATGAGCACAACACCACGTGGGCAAAACCATGACAGCATCAAACACAGTAATCCTAATCCCAAGCATTC